ATGCTTTCTTCCCTTCATTTACTTCTTTCTGGGGCTAGCACCTGCTACAGAGATCAACCTTTTCTGCTGCTGTGCTGAGCCTCAGTTATTTGTTGTTCTGTATGGTTCAGTCTTCAACAGAAGCTCTCAGGCTTAAATGGGAGTAAGAATGATTTGTGCTCACAGTACTATTTTTGAACAGTTGTCCATTCCTCCATAGTTTTGAACAATCTTTGGCTACACTAGCACAGTTAACTGAAGTGGAAGTAACTCCTCTCTTGAGTTAGAAGCTCTCACTTGAGCTAGGCAACACTGTGAAATGGCATTTAAACAGTACAGTGTGTGTTAGCACAACTTAGCAGCTCCTAACTCGAGCTGTAGCCTGACAGGCCAGCTGAGACTCTCTAAAGCACCAATTCACTTGAGTTAAGGAGTTTTGGGAGGGGGAAACTCTGCAGTTGTCTTTTTTTTCCTTTGATTTTGTTTACCCTGTAGCATTGTGAATGTTTGAAATATTTTGAAAAAAATAGTTTTCAAGATACTACATAAATTTCAACTATCTGCAATTTGGAAAAATACTTAAATTACATTGTAATGAAATATATTTTTGTGAGATTTTTTTTCTCCGCCCTCCAAAATCATATCATGTGTCTTGGAATGGTTTGGATGCAGGAGGAAAACATGGAGGGGAAATGTAGAATTTACATCCATACTTACACCTGCTTTTTTTTTCTAATTTTTTTGTGAAGGGATCAGTTGCAACTGGAGATGTGTACATATGCCAAAGGAAAATCTGCTGCTGTTCTTTTTAATTACTAAAACCATATTGAAAATATCCTGTTTCTCTTGCTATTTTAAAAAGTGCTATAAATCACATGGCTTCCTGTGATGTCATGTATGTCATTGTAAGGGTGGGAAAGGTAGATGATGTACTTTGTTTTTCAGAAATTAGCTTAGAAAAGTTTGACCTTCACCTGCAGGAAATAGAGAGGTAGGGAAGTAGTGTTTTAATGCCCGGAGAAGTAAGAAATTATTACAAAGACAGAAATGGGGAAAATACATCTTTAAACACAAAACCTTTTCCCTTCTAATTTATTAGGACAACACGTTTGCTGTGACAAGTAATACCCTATATAAGAATGTAGCTGCTGAAACAGGCAACCACATGAGGTAATCGGTTACTCAAATAGTTACATGCAGCTCCCGGTCCAGCTCCCAGGGAGCCGGCTATTGACTCACTGCTGATTTTGTACCAGAGGCAGCAGCATGGGGTGGCCCACAGGAGGCAGCTTTGCCCTGCACTGCTGCCTCTGTATTAGAAGCCGGCTCCCTGGGAGTGGGGTGGCAGGTGACAGCTGGTGTGCACCAGGAGCTGGCTGCCGCCCCATGTGTAACCCCTGAAAATTTCAACAGTTACACAGTGGCATGCATTTTAACATCCCTAATTTGAATTTTATTGAATAAGATCTGCTCGGAGACCCAAAAGGTTTTTAGAGCAGATTTTAATGAAAAGAGGAATCCTTCTATTCAGAGGAATTGTGCCTTGTTGCTACTGGTAAGATTTGAAATATTGAGGTGAATGGTGGAGTAAATGTAAATGAATTTCTCCAGTTGCTGGAATATGCACAATAGAATTAACACGTTTCTTCTACTCATTTGCCTGGTGATGTATCAGGCCAAAGAGCAAAAACTTCCAGCATGTGAGATCTTAAGATAGCACTTCTCCTGCATCCTGTAACATGACTGTATTCATTTAAATGACTGGATAGTTAACAGTGAAACAATCCATTTAAATAATGACACCCTGGCTTAAGGATTGTAAATATAATGAAAACTGCTGTTGGTGAAACTGGATATATATGTACAGTTGGTACTGATTTGACTTGCAACTCGACCTTAAAGTCCAAAGGTCTGATTCTGCAGCTTGTTCTCTAAACACAAATTCTCTGTTGTCAGGACTGCTTAAGTAAAGATTTGCAGTTCTGAGCTAGCTTGTGTAAGTAAAATCTCCTCTGGATATATCAAAGTCATGAAAAACTGCAAACAATCTCGTGGCATCTTCTGCATTTGAGGTCAGCAACTGAGCTGCTTTCATCAGAGAGTGAGTTTTAAACAGATGAAAGAGGAGGCCTTTGAACATAGTGCCACATGCGAAATTTGCATCTGTGTCTTAGACCTTTTCTCACATGGGTGAACAGAGTTGAGGGGCAGCATATAAGCCTCTGGGAATAAGACGTTCTAGTTTGTTCCATTCCCTCCCACCCTTTATTTTCCTTCTCAGCCAATTCTTGGGATGTTGGCAGGCTCCAAAAGGGATTTTTTTCCCCCATTTTCCTTAGCCAGGGAGTGAAGTGGGGTGGAACAAAAGGAATCAGGTTTCATGGGTCTCCCACTGTTGTGTGCCTTCCTCCCATGATTCTCTTCCTCCCAAAATAAAAATCTACAGCTGTGCTTTAAAAAGGGCTGGTTAATCTTCTAAATGATTTACCCTCTGCTATGAGGAGTTTGGAAGCAGACATGCTTGTCTAAAAAAGCTGACTAAGATTATTATGTATTAACACATCTGGCGTCCTGTTCATTTCCTCAGTTAAAATAAATTAAAAATAAATCTGTTTCCCTGGAGTATATGGATCTTGGAAGTCTGGTATTATGAGCAAGTTCTGACCTGTGTCTCGCTTGTCCCATAATAATAGGGTGGGACTTCAGTTTGACAGATTGCTGCTGTGTTTTAATTGCGTTATGTAACACTATTTAAATTAAGCTTTTGATGGTAATTTGACATAGAGGGTTAAACTAGTAACCTTTTTTTATTAACCCTAAAGCACATTGCCTAAGCTAAAAATAAAATTACAGCTGTTGGAACCAGGATTAGTTCAAGGCCCATGTAGTATTAGCATCATGTTTTAAAAAAAAAAATGTTCTCATTAGTGGGGTTTTGGGTTACAAACCATTAAGTGATTAGCATGGGAACCAAGTGCAATAAAATGAACTATGGGTCAGCATTAAATTGTGAAATAATGTTACATTGCATCTCTGATAATTTATTAAAAATGAAAAGATTTTTATAGCTTGTCCCTTTGTTATTCTTTACCGCCTGTCATAAAAACAAATGTATGGCTAGGGATCCAGACAACTAGTCTTATCATTGTGAATTTAAGTTATGCAGTAACAGGATACAAGGAAAGGGTTTTTGCCTAAACATATGTTCCTAGAATGTGACTACCTCATTTCTGACACACATCTATATGGCGTAAGGGACATGGACAAACTTTTTTTACTTGATCTAAGTATTTGTCTATGCATGATGGTAACCCATAGGGATCTGATCTTCACTATTTTTCATTTTCCCCCTTCTAGTTCTTCCTCCAGTGCTGGTTCCAAGACACAGTGAATACAACCCTCAGCATAGCCTCTTGGCTCAATTCCGCAACTTGGGACAAAATGAGCCTCACATGCCACACAATGCCACTTTCCCGGACTCTTTCCAGCAACCTAACAGTCATCCATTCCCCCACTCCCCCAATAGTAGTTATCCAAATTCCCCTGGAAGCAGCAGTAGTACCTATCCACACTCACCTGCTAGCTCGGACCCAGGAAGTCCTTTCCAGATGCCAGGTAAGATCACCTCTCTATGAGTTAAATGGTGTTACTAGATATTGTAAATTCTGTTCAGCTAGCACTTAAGTGTATTCTATAGCTAGTTGGAGATGTTAGGGAATGTAATGACTAAATCAGGTTGCCTAGCAATAATTATAAATGTTGTTGGTATTCTTTCTAACACAGGTAAAATGCTTGAATACGTTTTTTGTTTTTGTCTTACAAATCAGCTTCACTTTTGGGAAAATAATGCAGTATTGCAGCTTTCAGTCCTGGTGTAGTTTTGCGGGAAGAGTGGTATTATGCATGTCTAATAATCTGACGACAAAAAATAGTGCTACAGAAAGTTCGTGATCAGGAAAGAAACTTACTCTTTAAGTTTAGCATTAGTTTATAGTTCTGTAAAAGATGTTTCCCAAGAGGATTGCACTACCACTATTTTATTCAACTTATTCACATAGTGATGTAATTCTAAGAAACTAATGCTTCAGCTGCATAATAGTCTCTCAGCAGAGGCCATGTAAAGAAACCCTTAGCATGTCTTACTTAAAGACAGTGAAACAATTGCCTTTTGTTTCTGTTTTGGCTGTTGGCTATTAGACATGTAAAATCCTGTTTGTTTAGCTAGTTAGTTAAACTTAACGTTTAAATGGATATCCGATTAATTGTGGGTGGGCGGAAGGCTGCTCTAGCCAGGTTGGAGTGCCCCCCACATGGGGTGGGTCCCAGGGGACTGGAGCAGCCCCCTGCCCACAGAAGGCGGGGAGCTGCTCCAGCCCCCACCAGTTAACGGTTAAAATCCCTATACTGACTATTTCTATAAAAACCTGTCTTTTTTTTTCTTGGGTTGTCCATGACTAAGTATCATGAAGAAATAGGGTTGCCAGGTGTCTGGTTTTGAACCGGACAGTCCAGTATTTGAGCTTTCTGTTCAGGAAACAAATTGAGAAAATATAAATGTCCGGTATTTTCTAAATAAGATGTAATATGGATTGTGATGTAATGTCAAGTGTGTCCGGTATCTTTGTTTAAACCATCTGGCAACCCAATGAAGAAAGCAGCTTCTAAAAATGTTTTTGCTTTAACTTTTTGCTTCTGAGAATGAACCTAGGGAAATGGTGTTGCCTGCCTTCCATCGGGACTGGAGGAGGGAATGGGGAAGAGAGATTTGCAAAACTGTACATGTTATTTCTTCTGTAAAGGGGGTGCTCATTGAAGTTGAACTACTGATATTTGTCTCTTCACCAAGGGAAATTTCTGGGTTAAGATTTGTGTGTTGCATGCATGTGTTTATAATTCCTTTTGAAAAATCAGTAACTTATGGCAACCCGCCTATCCCAATATTTTATTTAAGACCGTACAGAATAAGAATTTGAGAGATTTAGGTTCTGAGACCCTGTGTCCCAGTGGATACAGATCAGGTCACTGGAGTCCCATGCTTGGTTTGTAATGGGAAAGGTTGCCTACAGATGGTTTTATGGTACTTCATTGAATTTGGTTTCTAATGAGTCCTGTTTTGCCTGCGTTCCTGGCTAGAGGTAAAGCAGACTCAGTAGCTTTAATGGAGAAACTGAATTGTGGAGGGTGTTGTGGTGGGGGAAAAATGGAGGCATCCAACTTGAGATCTTAGCCTGACTCAGTATTGTGAGTCATTGCCTTGAGACAGGACTCTTGGCCAACACCCACTTTGTTTTAGTAGCACAGGAGGAAACCCAGTTGTTAAAATGTAGGAGGGGAGCAGGGCTATTCTCTAGAAATGTGAAAATGTTGCATATCCTGGCAAAATGGTGTCCTTCACAGTACTCTCTAGCCATATTTTCTCAGGTGTGTATGTCAGCAGCATAAGAGTTCCAATTATACAAATGTCTTATAGATTTAGACTCTGAATAAAGGATCACATTTTTTTTATCCTCACCATCCATGGTGCATGCCTGCCCACTCAGTTGGACTGCTTGTAAGGCCAAGTGGAAAAGGATGGTAAAAATTGGGAGAACATTGCTGTCTTCTTACTGTCCTGCTTAGTTGAGAGTTGTGTTACTAACGTGAACTCATTTGAGATTTTGAAGACCAGAAAGTTGCATGGAAGTTACCAGCCTATTTGCCTTTTGGTTACTTGTCATGATAGTGACTCACTCACTGATTGGGTGGGGAAGGGGAGAAGATAAGTGCTGCAGAGGGGAAGGCACTTACTTGCTCTCTGGTGCAGAATGGTAGTAATTGAATATGATGAATCAGGGCAAAAAATCTGTGGGGGTCAGGAAGGAATTTTTAAGGCGTTCCTAAGAGCTTAAATCCCTTTTAACAATGAGACTTAGAACCTAAAATATTTAATGGCCTGTTACAGTGAGCATAACAATGCCTAAATACATTTACAAACTCTTGACTCCAAATCCTGTGCTTGTGTTCTGTTCCTGTTCTGTATTAACGTAGGGCTGTGGGTGCTGAGCATGGAAACATTGATTTGTAGACTGTGCCTTGAACTTATGAAGCACTGTTGACACACATGCAGCTGAGCTTGATTGATATAACTACGATAAAAATTACTTTCATATACAATAACCTTCTGCTTCCCTGGATCAAGGTCCATGATTGCTTTCTCAGCCATTCTGATGAGTAGGTAGAAGTTCTAGCCGAGTCAGGCTGAAAGTATTTCCGAGCTAATGCTCAACTGTTCATGTGGTTATATATGTACATTTTTAAAGAGACGGAAGGAGTTGTATCTCTGCCTTTTCTATATTTAGCTGATACTCCCCCTCCTGCTTACCTGCCTCCGGAAGATCAGATGACACAGGATGGCTCACAGCCAATGGACACCACCATGATGGCACCCTCAATTCCCCAAGAAATAAACAGAGGAGGTAAAATGCTTCTATAATGGGTCTTTTTTTCTGCTTGGTTTCTGAATTGCAAAAAAATTTTTTAAAGCTGATTATTGATATGGATTCACGTTATTTATGGAAATATGTAGCTATAGACAATAAGAAAAACTATAGGGAAAATGTATTTTTCTCCCCTTCCACTCACTTCTGAGTATCTAGATGTGTGTATTTAAAAAAAAAAAAGTGATCACACATGACTAAGGCATCACAGTGTTTTTCATTTTAAATGTTGATTTCAACCAGAAGAATCCAAAAGCATGTTACATAAAGTTGTAACAATCACTGAAGTTAAACAGCTGTTACGATAGAGCATGGTAATTGTGTGCAGTGGCACATAGCTTGCTGTTAACAGGCAGTGAAAGATATCTATTTGTATTATAGTGACTTATTGAGACTGTGCTTGACATTGTACGGTTGACCTGCATGGTGTGAGAGTGACTTTAGAGCAGGGAAAATAGCTGCCTAAATTGAGATTTTTTTTGGGATACAATATATCTTCACACTTGCAAGCAGTCCCATGAATACTTTAATACAAGCAGTCAGGAATGTTAGTATGTTTCTCTTCTGAAACACGGTATGTCCAACCAAAGTGCCTCTTGTCAGGATATTGCACTGGTTCGGCTCTCACTTCTAGAGAAGAAGAGCATGTTGCTAAATTGCCAACACTGCTTCCTGCAGAATCCTGGGTTTTTCCTGGGAGCTTGGGGGAGGAATGTTTCCTTTCCTATGTTAAGTAGTGACCTGATATGACCCTGCTTAGCTTGTGAGATTGCAGCGTGAGGTGGTATTGCTGCAGGGAAAACGTGTTAAATTCTTTTCATTTTGTTTTATGTCCTATGGCACAGACAACTTTTTACACATGGCTTTTTAAACACATTGCAAATATAAACTGCTGAGTAAAGGATTTAGTGCATTCAACACATGGTGAGAAATAGCCCCCTCTGAGAACACTTAGGCTCATATAGCCGTGCATTCAGCCAGGAGAGGAGTAGCAAGTTGAACACTGTGCCACTTTGTTCATATGCTTTTTATCTTTATAATCAATCTAACTATTGTTTAATTTCATACAAGTTTTTAAAATGTCTGGGCTTACGACTATATCTGACCCTTTAATATATCCTTATCAGTTCTGTGTTAACTTATTTTCCTTCTTCAGGGTGAGCTTGCATTTGATAAGCACCATCTTTGTCAAGTTGTTTTGCTGATCTATACACTATATTATGTACTGTCCTTTGCAGCTGATGAAGGCCTAAAGTACATTTATCAGTGTTTATACCTAACTCTGCAGACTTCTGCACATTTCTTTTCTTGTAAATACATAATATCTGTGCTATGGAATTTTTATATCACGTGTGAGACCCTTAACAACCAAAAGAAATGTTTTGCATTTTTCTTTTCATTCTTAAAAGAAAAGATATTTTATTTTTTTTTCTTCCTGCTACTAAGTTAAATGGTATTCTTTTAATTCGCTGTTTCTTTAGTGGCAAGGGAAAGACAAATTTATATCTTTTTCTTATACTTCTATCTCCCTGCTCATTTTTTGAGTCTGTCTGTTTGCAGACCATCCTCTTGTTATATATTGGCACATCTAGTGTCTAATTGCCCTCTAAAAGGTCTTCTAGAGTTGTATAAAAGCAGTTGTTTCAATACATTTTTATGTTAAACATTTTAGTTGCAAATGTTTAGAAGCGTGTTCTTTACAGAGATTTGTTAGTCTTAAGAGATTTGATTTAACAAGCTGCATCCTGTCACTGAAGCTGGGTAATTTCCATTGTTGGCCCATGCTGGGAATAGAGAGACAAAACGCACCTGCTCTGCATGACTTAAAGCAAACGTAAGGAAGTTAGTATAAAATCTGTGTGAGAGAGATATGATTCATTCTGTAAGAATGGCCAGCTGGCAAGATTTCTTCCTGAGTTTGAGAACTGGGGCAAAGCGGTAGCTTTGGTAGTTACTGGCAACTTAATTGGAAAGTAAAATGTAGTAACCCTTTACTAATAATTAAAGGCCCTTTTTACAATGACTTAAAAAGGATTAACAATTCTGTGGCTTTACAAAACTTAAAGCCCTTTTCATGAGCATTTCTTAGGTTGCATTTAGGGCCCTGATCTGCAGAGCAGCTATCCCAGATTCCCAAACTGTATGTACAAAGCATGAACGAAATAGTCTTTCTCTTAACTTACCGTATTTTCCGGCGTATAAGACGACTTTTGATGTTAAAAAACATCCCCCCAAAATCAGGGGTCGTCTTATACGCCGGGTATGCGGCTTTGCAAAGCCTCGGGGGAAGCTGGTGGCGGGGCATCCTTTGCAAAGCCCCTTCCCAGCCCCTCCTGAGAAGGTTAGTTTTTTTAGTATTTATAACAGTTTTTATTTAATGACTAATGTAATATCAAAAAACATAATTAGTAGGCCAGAAGAAATCTAGCCAGATGTCATTTTGTAGTACTAATCAATTAATATCATTTTAATATAACTGAATTTTCCTTGTTCTACTCAAATACTTTAAAAAAATTGCCATTGAAATGCTTTACTCTCAAATACATAAAAGCTGTATTTCTAACATTAACTTGTTTTTTTACACACACACACACCTTCACACAGTCACATCCTATCTCTTCTTCAACCTCTTTTAGTTGGAGGTGATTTAATAATGTTGTGGATCTATTGGGCATTTGAGAGAGAGCACAATAGTTGGAACCATCCAAAGAAGCATATAATGTTGTCAGACAACTTGTTTGAGACTCCTTTTACTGAGAAAATACAGTTCATATAAAGGAAAAATTCCCAAAGCAGTGTTAAAATTTTACTTTATAAGATCTGTGTGTTTTTTGGAGCTTGGCTGGCAGGCAGGCAAAGATGGCAAATTGGACTCTTCAAAATGTACATTTTCTCTTAAACTATTGCAGAATTTGCTAGCTAAATAAGGAATCTTATGGAAACATGAGTGCTTACATTATCAGAATATTGGAAGACCAAGTTTAGAGCTGATCCTGATGTTAGCTGGCTAGTTTTGTATTTCATGTTTAGTACCTCATGAAAACTTATAACATTCTTTCTTGTTAGCGTTTAATTTTTAAAGGTTTATGTTCAATATTGGTGTATAAATCTTTAATTCCATGGCATTTTGCTGAACTTAAGTCCCTTTTTTTCTAGCCCAAAATACTATATTCAGATGCATGTGTATAATATAATCTTATAACCCTGCAAATTCCCCTGATTTTAATATTTTGAAATCATTATGTAATTGTGCTCTGAAGTCTAACTTTTCATTGTTCTCTTCTTTCAAAAAAAAAAAAAAAAAAAAAAGAGCCTTCCTAACCCTTTTCATGTGAGGGAGGGAGAGAGATTGTCAGGGTGATGAAAATTTCCTTTCTCTCCTAGGCAGTTGTGAAAACTTACTGTTGGCTGTTCTCTGATAGTTTCTGCAATGTGATTTATGTTGTAGTTAATACAAAACGTTGTAACATGTAAAAATTTTAGAATTTTGGTAACTAAAATAGGGAGCACGTCACTGATTGGACAACACTTGAGCATGCTGATCTAGGTCATAAGTTGCAAAGAATTTAGCTGGTGGAGAGGGAAGAGGGTACTTACTGTAATGTGGTGGATGAGCCCACACATTCTCTTAAGTACCTGTTGCTGACTCTGGAAAATTTCAGATACTTTTTCCTTGACTGTTTTTATACAAGTTTTTTATGGCTTTGAAAAGCTTTTAAAAAAAATAACGTATAGATCAACACCATAGAAGGCTGCACTTAATTAGGAGTTGTTTATCTGGAACATCTATCGGTGGTCTTAAGCCAAAGTTTGTCTATAGGTTGCACATTTTTAAAGTTTAGAGACATTAATTGCAGTGCTATTGATTATAACCTTTGTTTCTTTGCAGATGTTCAGGCAGTTGCTTATGAAGAGCCAAAACACTGGTGTTCTATTGTCTATTATGAGCTGAACAATCGTGTTGGGGAGGCATTTCATGCCTCCTCCACTAGCGTGTTGGTAGATGGTTTTACTGATCCTTCAAACAACAAGAACAGATTTTGCCTTGGTCTGCTGTCTAATGTTAACCGGAATTCCACGATTGAGAACACCAGGCGGCATATTGGCAAAGGTGCATATAATTTTTCTTTTGTTTGTTATGCTTTCCAGCTAAGCACTGGAAACTGGACTTCTTGCCTCAAGGACAGACTCGTATACATTATGAAATCATGTTCTAATGAATACTGGCGAATACATCATTTCTTTGCCAAGTCTTATAAGTTCTCACCTGTTGCATAATTGCAGGAAACTTTCTATTTTCTAATCAGGTTTTTCATTGTCTACAGACTGATTAATTGTAATTAGCATCACAACTTAAAGCCACAGTTTGGCTAGTCTAAGGCAATTTCTAAGGCAATCTGAACGATATAATTGCAGATGCCTTTCTGAATAAAATAATCCCTCCTCTTACCCAGGATTAAATATAGATAAATTGTTTGGGCTTTATGCTCTCTAAAGGAATCAGGGGCGGACTGGCAATCAAAATGGGCCTGGGAAACGGGTTGAGAATGGCCCACTTTTTCACATCAAAGACTTTTTTTTTAATTTACTCTTTGACCCCCATTAGCCACGCCTCTTACCCCCATGAACCACACCCCCCGACTCCCATTAGTCAGGCCTCTGGAGGTAACACTCTCGGGGCAAGATGGACACATGACCAGAAGTAAAAGGTGTCATGTGACTCCTCTAAGGAGTTTTCCCACCATCCTCCTACCAATTAGTTTGGCCCCCACAAACCCCCCCTCATGCAACTATCCTGCAATTGCATTAACCCAGTGGCCATAGGCAGCGTATTTAAGTTATTAATAAATGTCTTATAAAACTCTACCTTTTCCCTCTGCTGCCATGTCTTCTCCTCTTGCTCCATCAGCTCCCCTGGTGCCTGCTGCCCCCCAACCCTTCACCTGTCTCTGCTGTCCTGTCTGCCCGGGCATCTCCCTTCTCACCTGTTGCGCAGTGTTTGAGCATGCCACGCATGCGCTCCCTCAGCCCCACCGTGCTCTGTACATAGCTGGTGCATGGCGCCGGGAAATGTAAAGTGCGGGGCTGCGGTGCCCCGTCACAATCCCCCTCCTCCTCCAGCCAACCCTTTGGCCGGCCCTTCGGAGGATGGCCTACCAGGAAATTCCCGGTGTCCCTCTGGGCCAGTCTGCCCCTGAAAGGAATATAAGCCTACTAAAATAATACTCTAAATACAGTTTAAAGGAGAAATTTTCAGAAGTTCAAAGGACAGTTCATGGTATTTGTCATTGTACCTTTGAGAGTCTTCTCTCAAAAGAATGGATTCTAGCTATGTTTTTAATTTAGTTTCATAATAGTCTATTTTGAGGGGAATGCTGTCATATAAATTAAAATTGACTTCTTTTAATTTCTGTGGTGGGTAATGATGTTGTATTTGTACAGTGCTTATCAGTGGTATGTATACAAACGATATTGTAAGCTCTTGCTTTTATAACCATTTAATTGGACGGAGTCAGTGAGTTGGGGTGATAGCTGTGTGATGTGCTGAAACCATAGATGTATAATTTGGGCACCAGTTGTTATGGAATATAGATTCAGACAGACCTTTTCTAGACATCAAGATAAAAAAAATCAATGTCATGTAAAAAATTTTAAAAATTCTATTGACTCCTATTCAAAGGCATTCTTTAAAATTTGGATGTAAAATCCTAATGTGAATAATAAGAAGGTGCACACACTCTGGCAGGGTAACTGTAAAAGTATAATAAGAAGACAGACCAGGAAAGAACTTGCTAAAGCGACAAAAATGAGCCGTCAGATACTTATATCGGAAGCAGGAAGTCTGCCTAAAGTATTAAAGGAGCATGCAAGGCCATGCATGCTAAGTGAATTCTTTGCATCGATCTTCACTGCACAGGATATGGGTGACACCCCTATATTAGAGCTGTCCTTTTTGGTTAACATGTCACATAGATCTGCAAGCAGAAGTTTTAGAACAAATTGATAAATTTGAAAAATAAGTTGTCAGGACCAGATGGCATTCACCAGGGTCATCCCTAGGGACATGCAAAGCCCAGGGAAACCCCCATTCTGCACCAGGCCCCGCACCACTTCTTTCCAGCCTGCTGCCACTTCACCCTTTGCCCCTCTCCCCAGTGACATGACCCCGGAGGGCAGGATCAGGGTCTCTCCCCTCCTCGCCCCACACAGCACTCACTGCTGTGGGAAGTGGAACAACCCAGAAGTGTGTTTCTTTCTGCCACCCATCTCCCAGCCAGGTTGCTCCGCTTCACTGCAGCCATGAATGGCATGTCATTTTGTAGTGATGTGGCAAAGTTTGCAAATGATCAAAAATTATTGGAGGTACTTGAGTTCAAAGCTGTGCAAAGAGTTACAAAGAGAAATCACAATACCGAGCGCCTGAGCAACAAAATAGCACATGAAATTCAATCTTAAGTGCAAAGTAATGCATGGTGGGGTGTAAAAATAATCCTAACTACATAGATACAGTGAAGGCTTCTAAATTAGCGCTTACCACTGGAGAATGAGACCTTTTGAGTCACTGTGGATTGTTCTCTGAAAATGTCAGCTCAATGCACAGTGGCAGTTAAAAAGGCTAACAATGTTAGGAACTATTAGGAAAGGGATAGAGATAAGACAGAAAATATCATGCCACTATATAAATCCATAGTATGCCCATACCTTGAATACTGTGTCCAATTATGGTCTCCCATCACAGAAAAGATATAGTGGACCTGGAAGGATTCAGAAAAGGCCAACTAAGACGATAGGTGTATGGAATGGCTTCCTTATGAGGAAGGACTAAGGGCTGGCTATTCAGCTCAGAAGAGAGATGACTAAGGAATGATATGATAGAGCTTTATAAAATTATGAATGCTGCAGACAAAGTGAATAGAGAAGCATTTACCGTTTTGTACAATGCAAAAACCAGGATCACTCAATGAAATTAATGGGGAAGAGGTTTAATACAAACCAGAGGAAATACTTTTTCACACAACACAGTTAACCTGTGGAACTCATTTCCATGGGCTGTTGTAATGGCAAAAGTATAGCTGAGTTTTTGAAAAAAGGCTAAATAAGTTCACTGAGACTAGGTCTATTGATGACTATTAGCCAAAATGATCAAGAATGAAACCCCAGACAGACAATCTCTCTCAAACTCTGTACTGGCCACTGTTGGAGACAGAATGCTGGGGAAGATGAGCGATCAATCTGACCCAGGATGGCTGTTTGTTTGAGGTTTTTTTTTTTTTTTTT